GGTGCTTTTGGCACTGTTTTGTTGGATTTTCCACCTTTTTAGTTAAACTGATATTATATTGTTTAAGATGTTTCGATTAATTGACCTGCTTCGCTTAGTGCTGGCACAGTTGATACTACCACTGGTTCAATTTTTGCGGTAGTGAATTTTGGTAATATTTGTGTCCTCGCCAAATCCGGTGTACCAACACCAGGAATCCAATCCGGTGGTGGACCAAAACCAGGTGCTGTCGGCTCGAATGTTACCAACTTTGTCACCTAAACAAAACATTCTGGAAAAAACGCGACTTTATTCGGATAAAAAATTGATTTTGAACACGAGCAAGCACTTTAAACGGTCATTCAGGTGGCTTCTGAAGAGTCGACCTTTGTCTCGAAAAATCCGCGAAAAGCCAGCAAAGAAGAAGCTGCGACAAAGAATTTTTAATATTATTGATATCGAATTCAAATGCCGAGCATCTGATCAGTCATGAAAGTTTTGATAGCCACTCGTTATTTTTAACATAAACTGGAAACACTCGTTAAACATGCGTTTCCAAAAAAATTCCTTGAAGTTATTCTCAGTAAAATTCAAAGTGTACAAATGCTAACGATTATGCTATGGAATACATGTATCTAGGTCTCATTCGTACCTCAATTTCCTTGACTACCACCACAGGCACCGGTACGGGTTTTTCATGAATTCGTATAACGGGCGGTCCGGGCACAGTCACTTGTTGTACATAAAGATCCGGAAACGAGCAATTACATCGACCTAAATTTTCCGGTGAACAAAAAAAAATATGATTTGGAAATTGTGAAAACTCTATTTAATAAAATTGATATTTTGCAACTGATTTATTTATCGCAGTTTCGCATCTAAAATGCTGCTGAAATTTTCCACTTCCGTAAAAATTCAATTTTTTTACTATAACTCCTGGACCGATCAGTTCAAGAGCATGCTCCTTTTAATGTCATTTTGTGGTGATTGTTTTTTAAACTATATAATAAAAGTAATAAAAAAAATGTTAGTTTTTAATGAAAACCGTTAATGCCAGGCCGGCCTTCTTCGCCAACATTTCCAACAAGTCCAGTTGGTCCAACTTTGCCTTGCGGCCCGCGTTTGCCTGCAGTGCGTAAATATATGTATATGCAAATGCACCCACAAATATTAGGGACACCGAGGCCCACGAGGGAAACAGTGTGGCTATCCCATGTTAGTGATGCTACTGAGCAAGGCAGCGCAGCTGTGCCAAACCTTTCGATCTTGGGTAAGAGACCCACGGATACTTATATATAATACATATGCAAGCAGTTACGCTTACAAGTATACATTGGGAGTTATATAAAGAAATGCGAACACTTGTTTATATGTAAAAGTATTTATATACTTACATATATGAATTCTATTTACAAATAAACATTTGCTTACTTGTCATAAATAGACATATGTATGCAGATGCTGCAAATATGCTTATATATGCAAATACTTAATATCGAAAATTGATGTGTATATGCAACTAATTTTATTCCTTTTCTAATATTTAGATTAAAGTAACTTATCATTACACTTTCTTATTCCCAAAATTTTTGATTTTAGAATTTGTTATCATTGTGGAGCCAAAAATGTTATTGCAGTTCAGTTTCGTTTCTAGAGCAGCTATGCTACACTTTTTTGCCCGAGACTATTTGTTAGCATCAGTCCGAATCTATCCTCTCTACTTACGCAAGTAAGTAATTTTTCTTCCTTTCTCCGAGTCATCTCGAAATTTAATTCATCTCAAAATTTGAAGCCGCAGAAAATTTTAAGTTTTTTTCTTGCCATTGGCTCATGCACTAGCTTGGGATGCTCGAATGAGACAAACCTGGAGGTCCAGCAATTCCTTGCGGTCCTACTGGTCCCCGTGGTCCCTGGAAGCCCATCATTTTTCTGCCAGTTTCAGTGCAATAACGATGAATACGCTTGCATGATTTATCAAATATTATCTTCTGAAACAGAAATTGAAGCATTTTTTTCGGATCAGATACAAATTTCCATTATTACTAAATATGGTAATGACACACTTAAAGAAGTCGAACCCACCATCAGCTCGCTTTTAAGCAGCCCACAAAAGAGGCAGTCTTAGTGGGTATTTGCTTTTCGTAGCTTCTGCCACTGGGGCTATTTCTACTGTGTTTTCGCTTCTCATACAAAGAGAAGGCGGGGCAGATTTTGGTTTTTAACTAAACTTAAATATTTGATGGATTTATTCTAGCACTAATACGAAGCCATCGATGCACACTGAGAAACAACATAAACCGATTAAGCCAAATCCTCTATGCAAAGGTTCTCGCCTCATTCATGCATTACTCGTGTTTCCAAAGCTAAGAACTTTGTACTGAAGCAGGCACCCAGCACTAACAGGTAGTTATAAAACTTGCCGATGATAAATTGGTACTAGCTTGACCACAGCACAGTGAGAATTAAACTGCGTTCAGGTTAATTAACAATCAAAAGCTCTTGGAAACAGAAGCTTTTGCTAGCATTTGGTTACTGTTGTTAAGATCCTACCTCTAAGCCCATTTTCGAGTGCCAGCATCTTTAATAGCAAGTAAAACGAGACTTTTCCTGGGTCAAAGGTTGACCCGTTGAAATTCGATTTTATTTTTCAAAAAACTGTTTGCCAGTTCAAAAGCTTACAGGAATGATAGTATCCTGCCCAAGAACAACTGTCCATTGGTCAAAATCATCATAGGTCCTTTGAGGCACAGGTGGTGGTGCTCTTAGAAAACGCTGTTGCCTTGGTGCGGGTTTTGATGACCATTTCACTTGCCTTCGAATTCGAGCATGTACTGCACCGCTTTCATCACATTTCAACATCTGCAGAGGTTTTGAATAAAAAATTCATATTGATTTTTTCACAAAGCTAAGATTTTAATAAAATTTTACGTTGAAATTTTAGGAAATCGAAATACAAGATGTTTTCGGAATGATAAATGGAGTAAAATTAAATTTTTTAGCATAATGTTCATTTATTTCTTAACTAATAAATTACACTTATTAATTTTAAAGCATCATTTTTGGCGTCCCCTTAATCAAAGAATACAAAATTTAAACGAATATTTCAAAAATTTAATGAATTGTTCATTTAGGCGGCCTCTGAAGATGTAACACGCATAATGAAAGAGGTAATTGGTACTGACTTGGAGGCACAGCTGTGCCGAGTGCGTGAAAACAATCCAGTAGCGTCAATTATATGAATGGCTAGACGATCTTAGTACTCTTGATATATATTTTCACACGCATCTCCTATACATTTTTTAGGTACTTATTTATATTTTTTCACTGTAATTTATACAGTGGTATTCCTTGCATACATGCTTTCCCATATTTATAACTTGAAAAATATGTAATGATGGGGAAATAGAAGGGATAGTCAAAAGGAGGATTCCTTTTTTACTTCTTTGCATTGAAACATAAAAATGAATCATTGTTTTTTCCAGAAGATAGTGAC